TTAAGCCAATCTCTTTTGAGATATAAAAGAGAGAAGCGAGCAGACAGACATGGGGACCTCATACCACCAAGAAAGCAGTGCCAAGAGCAGAGCGCGTCCTTTGGGTCTGAGGTTCCTGCACCGAAATGCTCCCAGACCAAGGGAAGACTGATGCATCACAAGGACCTTCGTCCAGAGCTGATAGAGAGAGAAAGCCTTCTCCTGGAGCTGATGCCCTGAATTTGGACTTGTAGCCTACTAGACTGTGAGAAAATAAATCTCTTTGTTAAAGCCATCCACTTGTGGTATTTCTGTTAGAGCAGCACTAGATGACTAGGATACGCTTCAAAGCACAAATTTCACTTGATTCCCATTTTCAGTATGATTCTCCCATCCTCAAATGTGCCTGGTGTTTCCCAAGCCTGAAAACCTTATGCTTTACACTCTCCTGACGATAATTATTCAAGTGCTTTTGCCAGTGTGGGGTGAGTGCCGTTGTCTAGCAGCTAGTTGTCTAGGAACTGGAGGTCTGTTTCTTAAGCAGCCTTACAACTAGCCCTCCAGTTTTTAGCTCCACTTTCACCCCAGTGTCCAGTTCCTGAGCCTTTTGAGGGTTCTGTGATGTACACTGAATTGCTTCTCAACTTTTCCCACTGCCGGGTTAGGGCCTGCCCTTTGCCCAGTACACCAAATCGGTTGCCACTTACCTTCTGCTCTCTTGCTTTCCAGATTTTGTCATTGTTGTCCTTTTGAGTTTACGCATTAAAACGAAACAAATATCTTTGCTGTCATTTTAAAGAGGTTTTAGGAAGAAGCAGAGGTAAATACAGTTCTTAGGAAGCATGGTTTTTCCTCTCTGGGGCCTGGGCTCTGGATAGAGGCGCCAAGCTCAAGGGCATTCCTTTTAGGGAGAGGGGAGCTGCGCCCTGCCACATACAACAGGTTAGGGGCCGAGGTGGTAGCATTGGACCTTGCAGAGCTTGCTAAGTTATCAGGAGGAACCCACCTGCTTGGCTCACTCTCTACTTATTCTGACATCTCCAACAGGGAAGTTGTGGGACTGATCTGTCATTTGCATTACCAGGGAGGGGTTTGCATAATGAAGAATCTGTGCTCCTGTGCTGCTACTTTTTCTCTTCAGGCACTAGAAAGAAGGCTATGTAGGAGGTGTTGCGGATTTATTTATACTAGATCTCACTCGGGCCAGTGCAAAAGATGAGAAGGCAGGAGTCTCCATACCAGCCAAAATGCAAAATTCTACTAATTGCTTTCAGAGGTATGTCCTTTGTATTTATGCCCTTTTAAAAATGATATTAGCAATTGTTTTATTCATAATTGGTTTGATATTTCTGCATAGAAGAGTTTAGGGAAGCTTCTATGTTTCCTTTTTTTTAAAAAAAATATCATTTCATTTAATATGTAATTCAGACTGCTTACCATAATCAGTCACATAAAACTCATACATGGTTTGATTTGTGCCTTTAGGTATTTCTGGTAAGCTTAACTTGCTTTGGTGGCTTCGTAAAAAGGCCTCAAGCTTTTCCCGGTTGTCCAGTTCCAGAAGGGCCCCTAAACTCCACATGAGGCCGAACACAAAGAGTTTGTGAAGATGTTCAACGCATGAAACACCGCCTTCTTCTTTGGACGGTATTAAACCTTCCAGAAGAGTGAGAGACTGAAAAAATTTTTAAAAATGACAATAACATTTTAAAAGAGGAATGAAGAGGAAAGAAAACAAATATATTTCAAAACATTGCTTGGTCACTGTCCTACAGTCAACAGCATTTAGAAGAAAGACCAACCTACTTTAGAAAGACTGAGTGATCTGGAAGAAAGAATGCTCAAGTGTGGTTTCTACCCTCAGCTTGTGCCACTAACCTCTCTGAGCCTCGGTTCCCTTATCCGAGAAGCAAAAGGCCTAGACTAGATGTTTTCTTAGGTGGCTTCTGGTTCTAAAGTGTAATGGCTACGAATGTTCCAGATTAAAGATTTTGTTTCTTTTTTAGCATTTTGCAGGGGCGAGCAAATTATGGTCCATGGGCCAGCTACTTGTTCTTGTAAATAAACTTTTACTGGAACACAACTACACTCATTCATTTATACATTGTCTCTGACTGCTTTCATGCTACCACAGCAGAGTTGAGTGGTTGCAATAAAGAGTTGTACAAAGCCTAAAGTATTTACTATCTGGACCTTGGAGGGAAAATGTACAGCCCCTATACAGCATCAGAAAGAAATGTATACTACAGTAAGACAGTCTCAGTCTTTGAAAGTAAAATTAGTTCAGAATAAAATTTACACCTCTATTACGCCTTTTGGAGCCCTGGTGGCACAGTGGTTTATTACGCCTTTTAAGGAGATCTGGTGGTGCAATGGTTAAAGCGCTCAGCTGCTAACCAAACGTTTGGTAGTTCCAACACACCAGCCACTTCGCAGGAGAAAGATATGGCAACCCGCTTTCGCAAAGATTTACAGCCTTGGAAACCTCATGGGGCAGTTCTACTCTGTCCTACAGGGTCACTATGAGTCAGAATTGACTCAATGGCAATGGGTTTTTGGATTATGCCTTTTAAAGTAAATACTAAATAACTTGTTGATTTGGGCCGTATGTATCACTTCTAACCCACCAACACTTATTGACTGCCATCTCTTAAGCTAAAAGAGAATCGAAGCATTAAAATGGTAATGAGAGATCATCGATTTTAGGAGAGCCCTAAAAAATCTATATTAGTTCTGTTTTTTCCAAAGACTAGTAGAGAAAACCGAGTTAGGAAAAAAGAAATGCCACAAACCACTTCTCAGAGAATTGTGTTTTCCCTATCTGATGTATACTCAATTTGCAAAGCCAAATTTTACTACCCAGGTTTTCCTGATTGCCACAAGCTCCCTTTTTGTACTTTTCTATAAAACTGCCAGTTTTATTTATTTTGTCATCTCTCACTGTTGGATATATTTTTCTGGGACAGACTACTAGGCTTGACCGTGGAAAAGACAGTTCATTCCCTTTCCCCTGACAGCACCCTCTGAGAAGTGAAGATAGTAAAGGGATGACAGTAAGATCACTAATGAGATCTTTCAAAGGCATCAAACTCCTCAGTCTTCACAGCCACAGCACAAAAACATTTCTATGGACTGCAAGAAGTTTCTATTTTAGAGTTTTGTAAATTACAATTGGAAACCCTGGTGGCATAGCGGTTAAGTGTTTGGCTGCTAACCAAAAGGCCAGCAGTTTGAATCCACCAGGTGCTCCTTGGAAACCTTACGGGGCAGTTCTACTCTGGCCTATAGGGTCACTATAATTTGGAATCAACTCAACGGCAACTGATTTGATTTGTTTTTGTTTTGTTTTTTAACACTACAATTGAGTGGAAAAAAAAAACTTCCAAATCTAAGTAATGAATGTACCCCATCCTCCAAAAAAAAAAAAAAAATCTCACTTGCGTAATATAGTTACACTCTAAGAGCTGCATTTTTGGATTGAGGTTCAGTTTCATAAATGTATATGCATCTTCAAATGCTTTATCATACAAATTTAGGAATACAGAGGCTTCCTGTGCTGTACGCTTCTTCAACCATGCCTGCAGCAAAGAAATAGAATCTCTGTTTATTAAGAAAGTGAAACATGGGAAGACCTAGCATGCTTCTGCTTGTCTCTCATCCCCACCTGTAATATCGGCCTCCAGCTGAGGGCAGAGCTGCTGATGTAGACCATGCCCATCCGTGAAACCGTAGCAGGGGAGGCGTTCTCAATATTGTGGACTTCAAACAAAAGCTTACAGTTAGGGGCCATGGGGATGCGATCCCCATTAGCTAATGTTAGAGTTTTGTTGTCGTCCAGCACAGAATTTAAGTTCTCGATCCAAATGGCATCTACCGGGCCATCTAAAATGAGGAAAACGTTTTCACCTGCAAGTAATTAAAAACAGGAAATCGCTCTCTTAAAAAGAAGCTGGCTAAGCAAATATGGTGTTATTAATAAACTGGCAGGGAATAAATGGTCCCCAAGGAGGGTTTCTGGATACCTTTCTTAGCTTTTAGTGTTTTCCTCCACAGAGTAGAAAAAATCCCATCTGTCCAGTCATTGGTGGCAGTGTCCAGTCTGCCAAACATCTGAGGCGCGGTAATGGCTTTTGGATTCATTCGCATTTCTCTGTGAGGCCTTCCACATTCTGTCAGCGCCTTCATCAAAATTGTTATAACAGTCGTCTTCCCCGAACCGCTGGGACCAAGAGTCATCAAGCCATGACGTACCAGAGATGTCTCGTATAACTGCACAATTAAACAATACATGGAAAAATGTAACTTACGAGTCTCTCGCCGGCATTCACAGAAGTAATTTGCTGAAATTTGGAAAGCATTAAATAAGCTGTTTAGCTATGTGCTTTAAAATAACTAGTTCACTTGTACACCAATCTTCATTGCAACGTTATTCACAACGGCCAACAGGTGGAAACAACCCAAGTGTCCATCAACGGATGAATGGAGAAACAAAATGTGGTATATACGTACAAAGGCATATTATTCAGCCATAAAGAGAAATGAAATTCAGACACGTGCTACGACATGGATGGACCTTGACAACATTATGCTAAGTTGAATAAGTCAGACACAAAAGGACAAATGTTGTATGATCCCATTTATAGGAAATATCTAGAATAGACAGATGCACAGAGACAAAAAGTTATTAGTGATTACCAGGGGTTGCGGGGAGGAGGTAATGGGGAGTTATTGCTTCAGGAGTACTCAGTTTCTGTTCGGGGTGATGAAAACCTTTGGAAATGTATAGTAGTGATGGTTGTACAACATTGTGAATGTAATTAATGATATAGAATTATACACTTAAAAATAGTTAAAATAGGAAAAAATTTGCTATATGTATTTTATCACAATAAAATTTTTTAAAATTCAATATTTAATATTATTAAAAGATGAGAAAATGTAAAAAATGTTGTTTTACTAGATATGGATAGCAAATTAGCACCACATTATAAAACAATCTACATGATGGAGTAATGACAATGTGAAACTTAAATTATATTTGGAAATAAATAATTGAGGATCTAGTTTTTGCTTCTCAGACTACGAATCCTTGGGATTTGGGTTTGCTGATTTATAACAAGCAGTTTTTCCACGCAAACACTTTCTCGGTATCCGATGTGATCATACCGCCCCCTAGTGGTGGCAAGCGGCAACACAAATTATCACAGTGGAGATTCACGTTTCACATCTGCCCTCTGGTTCCCAGAAGTAGATCATGAAATGAAGATTCATGGGCAGGTGATTCATTCAGGGATTGCTCCCAGGAGGAAATGATAAGGGAGTGGGGGAAGTGGGACAGGAATGGGAAGAAGCAAGTTGTGATTTGGGGTAAAGTCCTGTGGAGGGCAGGCTTAAGCCTGATCCTTCGGGGGATCTCTGGCATGTAAGTCACAGCTCAGTGTTTGTCCCACCTGGAAGCAGGGGAGCTTGACTCTCCTACTCCAGCACCCCATAAGTCCTTCACTAAGGAGAGGCTAACTTGGGAGTGGAGTGGGGAATAAACTCCCATGCACTTCCTGTTCTTTGCACCTGATGACAAAATGGCTCCAGTCCTCCTGAAAAAAACAAAACCAAACCTATTTATTGCCTTCAAGTTGATTCCGACTTATGGTCACCCTAAAGGACAGAGTGGAACTTCCCCATGTGGTTTCCTAGGCTGTAAATCGTTATGGGAGCAGACTGCCACATCTTTCTCCCGCAGCGCAGCTGGTGGATTTGAATTGCCAATCTTTTGGTTTGCAGTCAAGCACTTAACCAATGCACTACCAGGGCTCCTTAGTCCTCCTGAAGGGGGTGGCAAATGAGGGCTGTGAGAAGCAAAAGCACACAGAAGATGAAGAAGGGGCACATGGAAACGGTGAGAGGAATTCAAGGAAACACACTGAGAGCATGGACAGTGTCTTTACAAAATCCTGGCTATAGTTGTCTTTTTTCCCTTTAAAAAAAAATTTGTGTGTGTGTGTGTAGTAAAGTATATGTAACAAAAAACTTGCCATTTTAAATAGTTATAAGTGTACAGTTCAGTGACATTAAGTACATTCACCATGTTGTGCAATCATTACTGCCATCCATTTCCAAATGTTTCCCATCAGCCCAGACAGAAACTCAGTAGTCCTCAAGTTAATAACTGCCCTTCCCCTCCCTTTCCCCAGCCCCTAGTAAACTTTTGCCTACACGACATATTTCATATAAGTAGGATTGTACAATATTTGTCCTTTTGTGTCTGTCTTAATTCACCTAGCATAAAGTTTTCAAGGTTCATCCGTACGGTAGCATGTATCAGAACTTCATTTCTCTTCATGGCTGTATAGTATTCCATTATATGGCTAGAGCACATTTTGTTCATCCATTCATCTGCTGATGGACAGTTGGGTTGGTTCCACCTTTGGCTATTGTGAATAATGCTGCAATGAATTTTGGTGTACAAATATCTGTTTGAGTCTCTGCTTTCCGGTCTTTTTGTTCTATACCTAGGAATGGAATTGCTAGGCCATATGGTAATTATAGGTTTAACTTTTTGAAGAATTGTCAAACTGTTTTCCACAGCAACTGCACCATATTATATTCCCACCAGCAATACACAAGGGCTCCAATTTCTCCGCATCCTACCCAACACTTGTTATTTTCTGTTTTTCTGATAATAGCCACCCTAGTGGGTGGGACGTGGTATTTCATTGTGGTTTTTATCTGCATTTCCCTAGTAACTAATGATGTTGAGCATTTTTTATGGGCCACTTGTATATTTTCTTTGGAGAAATGTCTATTCAAGACCTTTGCCATTTTTTTAACTGGGTTGTTTGTCTTTCTGTTGTTGAGTTGTCGGAGTACTTTACATATTTTTTGATAATAAATTCTTACCTGACTTACGGTTCCCAAATATTTTCTCCCATTTTGTATGTTGTCTCTCCACTTTCCTGACAAAGTGCTTTGATGCAAAAAAGTTTTTAATTTTGATGAAGTTCAGTTTATCTATTTTTTTCTTTTGTTGCTTATGCTTTGGTGCTATATCTAAGAATCCATTGTCAAAAACAAGGTTTTGAAGATTTACCCCTATGTTTTCTTCTAAGAGTTTTATAGTTTTAGCTCTTATATTTAGGTCGTCGATGCATTTTGAGTTTATTTTCATGGATGGTGTGAGTTATGCGTCCAACTTCATTCCTTTACAGTTTTCCCAGCATCATTTGTTGAAGAGACTGTTCTTTCCCCCACTAAATGGACTTCGTACCCTTTTCAAAAATCAATTGGCCATAGATGTACGGGTGTACTTCTGGACTATAATTTTCATAATTAAAAATAGAAGTCAAAGGTCTCACGACTTCAGTTGTTCACCTAAATTTTAGACGTAAATGTATTATCACTGTAACCCATAGTTAAAAGTAATAAAGGCACTGCTCTCACATTATGTTTGAGAGTAATGTTATTGACATGAAAAAAGAACAAAATATTCTAGACTCCCACTGTCTTAGTCATCTAGTGCTGCTATAACAGAAAGACAAAGAGAAATTTATTCTCTCACACAGTTTAGGAGGCTAGAAGTCCAAATTCAGGGTGCCAGCTCCAGGGGAAGGCTCTCTCTATTGGCTCTGAGAAGGTCATTGTCATCAATCTTCCCTGGTCAAGGTACTTCTCAGCACAAGGACACCAGGTCCAAAAAACATGCTCTGCTTCCAGCTCTGCTTTCTTGGTAGTAGGATGTCCCCCTATCTCTCTACTCACTTCTCTCTTTTTTATCTCAAAATAGATTGACTCAAGACACAACCTAATCTTGTACATTGAGTCCTGCCTCATTAACATAACTGCCTCTAATCCTGCCTCATTAACATCATAGATGTAGGATTTACAACACATAGGAAAATCATATCAGATGACAAAATGGAAGACAATCACACAATACTGGAAATCATGACCTAGCCAAGTTGACACACATTTTTAGGGAGACACAACTCAATCCACAATACCCACCCATAGAGATGACTAGGGTTTTAGTACTCCATACACTGTACGTATATCATATATGAAATACTTTCCCAGAAATTTAAGTAAAGAACACATTTAAAGTGATTTCTAATACATGTGTGAGGAAAAATAATTAAACTTCTCCCAAAATATTTCCTTGTAAAATTTGGATATATCTCATATATCTGCACATCTGAAAAACTGGCAAAAAACCAATAAGTCTAAATAAGAGCTGTTATTTTTCAAATGCAGTTTTCAACACTCTCCACAACTTTAGCTTCTTCATTTTCTGAAAGTCCTGGAAAACACTCCAAAGCATCAGGCCCATAGAGATTTAACCCTGTGTCTCTTTTACAGCTTCTCAACTCTGCTGATAAAGTAATTGGGTAGTCATCACAAGGATAACAGCAATGTAAAAATGGTGTGGGGGCATTGTCCAACCTCCTTGTCTAACTTCGCAAGGGTGGAGAATCATCAAGGTTATCAGCATCAGCCAAAGGCTGATTCCTGTGAGATGGAGGTCACACATACCTCCTTCTCTCCAACCTTTTTACCAATTTGGATACCAGCTGTCCCTCCCACAGCACTCTACTTCTCTGCTGGGTTCAATAATTTGTAGCAGTTCCCACACAGAACTCACAGACAATACTCACAGTTATGGGGTTTATTAGGGAAGTAACAGGCTACAATTTGGGATCAGGATCAGGAAGCATGTAGGCAGAATCTCCCTTCTTCGGCACAGGGCAGCTCTCTCAGCTCCTCTCAGCTGTGGAGGGCTTCTCTTGGCCCCCTTGGGATAGGCCTCCACTCTTGGCCCTAGGCTCTTGGCCCCTGGGCTTGGCTTTGCTTGGGCAAGTGTTACAAAGCTCTCTAGCTCCGCCAACTAAGTGCCCAGAGTCACCCTACTCTGCCAGGAAGCCTCCTGCCCAAAGGCACTTAGCTCTCTCACTCCATGGGTCGGCAAGCCTAGCTCTGCTGACAAGTGCCCAAAGGACCTCACTCCACCAGCAAGCCTCCTGCCCGAAGGCTCTCAGCTCTCGTGCTCCATAGGTTCGCACACCCACTGTAGCTGCCTTGCTCCGTGGGTGGGAAGCCCATCATGCCATCTCACACTGGTCTCCTGGTTCTGCTGTCACTATTTCTCTGCCACTGCTTCTCAATGTCTCGTGCCATCTCTGGTGTTGCAGCCCTCTCTGTCTCCTGGGTCTAGGAGGTTCTCAATGCAGGGACCCCGGGTCCAAAGGATGCACTCCACTCCTGGCTCTTCTTTTTTAATGGTAGCGAGGTTCCCCCTTTGCTCTGGGATTGGCTCTTTTTTTATGCCTAGCAGGATGACAAAACTGACCAATCCCCTCGTTAGGGTTCCATATACCTTATTTGCATGGTCCCACTCCCACAAGGGTCCCATGCACCTTATTTGCATTATTAGCAAGCTGCCCAATCCCCTTGGTGGGCCACAAAACAACTTATTTACATAGTCCCACCCAATCATTATGTGGGAGTCACAAGACCATGGATGGCTACAAGGACCATATTAAGCAATTCACTGCACCACAAGCAACATGATGGACAGAAAGATGTCAAGAGACATAGGCAAAGTATTCAAGTTTTACTGTAGGTGAACCAATAAAACCAGTTGCCATTGAGTCAATTCTAACTCATGGTGACCCCCTGTGTGTCAGAGTAGAACTGTGTTCCATAGGTTTTTCAATGGCTGATTTTTCAGAAGTAGATCACCAGGCCTTTCTTCCAAGGTGCCTCTGGGTAGACTCAAACCTCTAACCTTTCCATTAGCAGCCAAGTGCATTAATCATTTACACCACTCAGGGACTCCGTACACGAAGTGGCACTCCCAGATTTTGAGGGTTCACGCCCCATTAAGGTTCCTAGCTGCAGTGACACTGCCAGATTGGCACAAGAAGCCCACTGGGTCTTTCCATCTCCCCAAATTTTTATAATCTACTATCCCTTTCCAGCTGTTCTTGAGATTACAGGCCACAGTCAAACCTTCTCACCAGGAGTAAGTAACAATGCCAGTAAATTGCTGCTTGGTTACTATGAGGCAGCATAAATCCATATGCTCCTTCTATGACCAGCACATCCCCCTGAGGACTCTTTTTGCAATGATATATTATAAGGTGTTTTGATTCAGTGTCAACATTTACATCAAGTAAGACCAGTATCATGTTTTCTTCTGTTCAAACGGTGATCTTTAATGGCACACGCTATTGTTATATTGATGATAGATAAAAATTTATTTACCTGCACAAGTTTGAGATTCCAAGGTGGATGGTTAATTAAACCTTCTTCCGCAACCTGGTTGGCTACTGCATCTTGCAGGTCTGTGTAAGTACTACTGTCTAGCTGTAATCCTGGAAACAGGTCATTGATTAAGCTGAGGAACAGCGGTTCATCTTCATCAACCTAAAATGTCATAGATTGAAACAAATTTACTCACCCAGTCAACAGATACTTATCAACTGGCTAGTATGTGCATAGCACTTATGGCCAGAGAATCATGTATTATTCTCCTAACCATACCTGTATCTTCTAGAACTTTCTCCTGAACAACACCACTGAATCCACATTACCTATAGCATTGTAGCCAAAGTTCCTTGGCATTCAAAGTATTCCACAATCTAGCCTCCATCTACTGCTCCAAGGTTTGATCTCATTGCTTTATCATGTGAATACTCTGCTTCGCACAGGCAGGTATACTTGTTAACCCTAAAAACGTGCAATTTACCGTCACAACTCTATGAGAGTATAGCATTAGTATTTCACATTTAAATTAGGCAAATATCCATAGCCCTGCATGACTGGTTCATACGTTGGCTGGAAAACTCCATTAAAGCCATGTTTCGCTTCCTGAGAAGCAGTAGATTTGAGTAAACAATGTCATTAATACATAAATCACCCTATTACCAACTGCTAAGTATTTCCTGATTTCTCCCTATCCTACAGGCCTCCCCTGATACTTTCTTGAATTCTTGCCTAGGAATTTCAAGAATACCATTATCTAAGGGAGGCAGTGAGGTGTACTGGAAGGAGCAGAGGATTTGGCATTAGAAAGCCTTGTGGGCTTTCATTACAGTTTCTCAACTGACTGTGATGATAGTGTGTGAGTTCCCCAAACTCTCTGAGTCTCAGCTCCCTCATAAGTAAAACCGGGATATTTGTACCAGCCATCCATATTCCACAGAGTTGTTGTGAGGCTCATCTAAGACATGGAAAGGCTTTGAAATAGCAATGAACTTCAAAGATGTTAGTTGTTGGGTTTTGTAACTAAAATGTGAGTTTCATAAGAACTATTTCTTCCTCAGCCTTGTACCCACCAGGGTCTGGACACAATACCTAGCATATAGAGAAGACCTGGAATAAATATCACGTGAACCTGTCCATCAGCTAGTTCAAAACAGCCTGGCTATAATTATGACAGGAATGAAAGCAGCAAAATAACTAGTATAATTTCCACAGCAAACTTCTAATGCATTAATGCAAAACAGTAATCGTGTTGGTGTTTTGAGAGAGACATATCAGCGATAAGCTAGTCACATATAGAGAAAACACAAAGTTCTCATGGCTCCCCGTGAGTCCAGATTTTCAAATTAAGAGTTTCTGTTACATTATCAATAGCGGATTGGTTGCTCAGTGGT